GTGCACGCTCATTCCGTAGAGGGCTCGGGTCCGGCGAGTTAAAGCGAGGTTCAGCCGTCCAATTTTGTACAGTCAGGAGGACGCAGGTTGAATTTGTTAAAAGAACATCCCCCCGGTGCTGGTTTTCTTTGAAAAGTAAACAAACACTCGTTTTGGCTAACATTGAATTATCCACTCAGTCTCCTACCCCCCAAAGTTATTCTGACTGAACTAATCGACATGACACCTCGTTTCGCAAAAATCCAATTAATTAGAAAGAAAAGCAGAACGTTCTCGCCTCTCTTAAGCTCTTCCCCAACCTGCAGGAGTGGCGTCAAAAGAGTATTTCTTGCTGTTGGCTAGTAATTTCAGCCCCTCTTTATCCAGGAGAGGACACCTATTCACTTCCAAGTCCAATTCAAGGTGCTCGGCCCTATCTTTAAATGCCAAAGAATATCCTTCAGAGCCGCATATTATTCTTGACAGGGGTGGAAAACCTGTGGTCCTACAGATGTTGCTGGAGCGCACAATCTCTGATGGTGGTCCATGCTCACAGCTGGGGGTGATGAGATTTCGAATCCACCCATATCTGGAGGAGAACCATGGGCTCCCCACTCTTGTCAAAATCTCTGAGGCCCTTTTCTAAGTTCCTTCCTTAGTGGAGGCACTTTACACAGTAACAAAGGAAAGGGTCTTTTCTGTGGTGGCACCTTGACTTTGGAATGCCTTCCCAAGAGAGTTAACCAGTGGTGTTGCCATAACAATATTTTCAGCTTTTCATTTGCCCAGACAGTTAAAATGGCTAAGTTAATTGTCATTGACGCCTCTCATGTTGCTAATTGATTGTGAACGTTAATGATGATGGTTTTGGATTTGTATATATGGCATGAGAAGGTTTATCCATGCCCCTTGTATGCCGCCCTAGGGTCTGTTTAGATGAAGGCTGGTCTAGAAATATTTTAAATAACTTAATAAAATAAGAAAGTTGTTTGGTTGCTCACCAGAACACCACACCCCTGCCCAGTTCAGCTAAATATTTCGCTATGTGAATCAGCCTGTTTCTGTGACCTGAGTTATCTGACCAGGTACCACTGGAACTCTTGAGTGCACAAGAGGAGTTAAGGTCATATTTTCTTTTTAAAAAATATATATTTTAATTAAATTTTACATAACAAAATTCAATTTAAACATATCAATCACCTTTACATTTAGGATTCTCAGAATCCCTTGACTCCCCCCTGCCCTTCTCTGGTTTCCATTGTCCATCTCTTTTTATTCAACTTATTCTCCCCCCACCCCAACTTATTGTATCTATTATTAGCTTTTCCAGTATATTTTGTCTTTTACAAGTATTACTCTAATCCTGCCAAAGTTTTTAACTGTTTACAATGCTCTCTTAAATAGACTATAAATTTTCCCCCATTCTTTCCTAAACTTCTTCTCGTCCTAGTCTCTGATTCTCCCAGTCAATTTCACCATTTCAGCATAGTCCATCATCTTCATCAGCCATTCTTCTCTGGTTGGAACTTTGTCTTCTTTCCATCTCTGGGCCAGTAGTATTCTTACATAGTCTTTTCTGCTCTTTCGGAATCCCTGTACCTATAATACCTAACAAAAAAGCCTCTGGTTTTTCCACAGATGTTATTTTAAACATTTTTTTCAACTCATTATATATCATTTCCCAGAATGCTTTTGCTACCTTGCACGTCCACCACATGTGGTAGAAAGTGCCTTCTTTTCTAACATACGTTAGAAGCAGTTCTATACATCTTTGCTAGTTTTACCGGTGTTAAGTACCATCTTTACATTATTTTCATATAATTTTATTTCAATGAGCAGCATGCCATCCAAATCTATTGTCATGACCTTCAAGGTATAAAATACCTGTGCTTTTCAAAGTTATCCATTCCTTTAGCCAGCAGAGACAGGACACCTCATAATACAATTTTAAATCTGGCAAAGAGAAGCCCCCTCTTTCTTTATCATCTGTTAATAATTTATATTTAATTCTTGGTTTCTTCCCTTGCCAGATAAATTTAGTTATATCTTTTTGCCATTGCTTGAAGTGTCCCTCCCCACTGGCCACAGGTATTGTCTGAAACAAAAACAACATTCTTGGCAATACATTCATCTTTATGACAGAAATTTCCCCCCAAAGTGATAAATTCATTCTTCCTCAAATCTCCAAATTCCTCTTTATCTCTTTCCAAGTTATTACATAGTTATCCTTAATTATATTTATGTTCTTAAGTTAGCCATACACCCAAAAATTTCAGCCTTTTAAAATTGTTAATTGTGTTGCTAGTTGTAATTCATTTATACTTTTTTCAGTCATATTTTTAACCAATACTTTCATTTTTTAATTATTTAACTTAAATCCTGCTATTTGTCCAAACTTGTACATTTTATCCAACACCCTTGGTATACTCAGTTTATACTCTTTGCACCCAACTGTTACACCTTTTATTTCTTTTTCTGGTCTTATATTTCTCAACAGTATGTCCAATACTAAAATAAACATTAATGGCGACAGGGGACAACCCTGTCTTGTCCCTTTTGTAATTGTACATATTTCTGATATTACATTATTCACTAATAACCTTGCCTGTTGGTCTGTATATATTGCATCAATTCCTCTTAAAAAGGTTTCTCCAGAATTCATCATCTCTATAATTTTTTTCATGAAACCCCAAGACACATTGTCAAATACCTTCTCTGCATCCACAAACATCAATGCTGCCTGCTTTTTATTCCTGACCTCCAGATATTCTATTATATCAGTTATATTCCTTGTGCTATCCTTCATCTGTCGGCCAGGAAGAAAGCTGGCTTGATCATGGTGAATTAACTCTTTAAGCACCCCTTTCAAACAGTTTGCCATAATATTGGCAAATTGTTTATAGTCATTATTCAGCAGAGATATTGGCCTATAATTTTTTTACCAAAAGTAAATTTGTGTCTTGTTTTGGGAGTAATGTTATATATGCCTCTTTCCATTATTCAAGAATTTTCCCTGTGATCAGTATCTTTTTCATTACTTCCCTCAATGGTTGTATCAGAAAGTCCTGTAGTTTTTTATAATATTTGGTTGATAAGCCATCTGGTCCTGGAGATTTGCCTATTTTAGAGTACTTGATCCCTTGTTGTATCTCTTGAATCACTATAGGTACATTTAGATCATTCATTTTTTCCAGTTTTAGATAAATTACTTTTCATTAAATATTCTTCAATTATATATTTATTTTCTTTGCCGGCTTGATATAACTTTGTATAATATTTCACAAATAGTCTTCTAATGTCCTTCGGGTGATCTATTATTCTATCCTCTACCTCCAATTTATTTATCATATTTTGTCCTTGCTTCTTTTTTAATTGCCAAGCAAGCAAGTTCCTTGGTTTATTTACAAATTCAAAAATTCTTTGTTTCAACCTTTTAATTTTCCATTCAGTTTCTTTGTTCACTAACATTGAAAATTGTGCCTGTAACATTTTTATGTTACGTTTTATTGTGTCCTTTCCAGGTTTCTTAATCAACTCTTTTTCATTTTTTATCAGCTCCTCTATAATTTCTCCCCACCCCTTCTCGAATTCTTTTTTGGTATGCACTTTGCTGAATAAAAAAAGCCTCTCATTACTGCTTTGCTTGTACCCCATACAAAATTTCATTCTGTCCCTTTATGCAAATTCAATTCAAAATAGTCCTTCAGGATTTCCCCCACCTTTTGCATAGTTACTTGGTTGTCTAGAAGACTTTCATTTAGCCTCCACCTGAATGTGGAATTTTCTTCTCCTTTTAACTCTGGTAACACTGGGTTGTGGTCTGATAAGGTCTTTGGTTGTATTTCGGTTCTTTTTCTCAATGTTAACTCATTTGATAGCCATATCAAGTCAATCTTCTGGCAGACTGATTTCGCTCTGATTAATGGGTATATTCTCTTTCAAATGGGTGTCTAAATCACCAAACATCAGTCAATTTTAAATTCTCCACCAAATTGAAAAAAGTCAGAGGTAGTCTTCCTTCTTTCGAATCCGTTTTTCTTATTGTCCTATCCATTTCTAATGAGACTACCCTGTTTAAGTCACCCATTAAAATTATTTTTTGATCCATGAAATCAAACAAATTTTCTTCCAATTCTTTATAAAATTCCAATATTTTATCATTTAGTGTGTAGATTCCAATTATCAATTCCCCCACCACCTTGTAATGTTATCTCATTAGCAACCATTCTTTCATCCTCATCTTTAAATAGCTGTTTGGGGTTGTATTCGTCTTTTACATAAATTACCACGCCTCGTTTTTAGAATATTAAACACCATTTCATATCAACAGTCCAATAATGCAAACTATCAACTGCCAGGTATCAGATAATGAAATCAAACATCATGATACTGATAACCAATATTGTGAAAACATTCAAAGAACATTCAAGCACCTGGAATTTTTTTGGTATCAACTTTTCTAAAGGATAAAGCAGGGTATAAATTCATTTCAGCTCCATGAACCCCATTCAGAGGTCTATGAGAGATGCTCAAAGGCAATTGTAAGGGCCTTCTGGGGAAATGATCACATTTAAATGAACTTCTCCCCTTTCACATTTAGCTGTTCCTTAAAGAAGGAAGGTGATCTGGAAAATCCCCATCGTGGCCTTCTTAGGAAGGAACCCACCACTGACCACCTGGGGAAATCTTCTGGAGCGGAACTCATATTACCTTAACTTGGGGGGAGAGAGTGATGTTTGGAAGCTGTAGGGAAGCAGCAGCAGCTCCCCCTCCTCTTCCCAGAGCTGAAATGTTCATTTCCAGGCTGATTAATTAGAATGATGTTGTGCCCCACCCTCCCATCATTATTAGCTACACTGGCTTCTGATTAATTAGGCACTGGAATTTGGAGTCATATATTCGTTAGCAGATTGCCTGATTTTGTTTTTCTAAAAATATCCATGGGGGACCATTTCCTGAGGAGCTTCATGGAAATTTTCTAACACACACCTCCTTCCCAGCTTGTTTTTCTTCCTCTTTTTGCAAAGTGCTTCCCCCAGCCAGCAAGGAACCATCCTAATGACTGGAGAAAGGCAACCAGTGGCTTTTGTGCTCTTGAGGCACTCAAAGTCATTTTTGTCATGTGGTTGTGGAGAAAAGAGCCCAGCCATGCAGCAGGAATCATTATTCTTGGTAAGATCTTGACCTCCTTGCAGTCAAGGAGGACTGCTCTCTTTAGGGCTATAGCCATGACCATTACCCAGAACCATCCAAATGCCACATACTAGGGGTGGAAAAACCTTTACAGATCAAGGGCCAGGTTCCTAACTCTCAGGGAAGTCTACTTAAGGAGGAGATGCACGACTGCCTCCTTCAAGGGAGATTGTACTGCTCCCTTCTCAAATGAAGCATCCCCCTGGATCCATCTAGTCAACCCAAGTTTTATCCCCTTCTCTGGGAATGATGAGAGTTGGCATACAAATAGCCTAGCTTCCCTACCTCTGGTCTACCCAGTGGTACAAAGTCAAGAAATAAAGCCAAAAAACAACAGCTGGAGAGTATCTGTTAACCATTTCCATGGTTCACTTCATCCCATCTTAAGTAACAATGGGGGGCTGTATCACAATTCCTACTTCTGTTTTCTGAAGCCATTGACAAGAAGCTGATAGGCCTATAATTAAGTTTGGTTAGTAGCTCTGGGATACCCTTCGGATGTGTTTGGGAATATTGTCTGAATTCCTATGTGAGCAGCTGTTTGCTTGGTGGCATTTATACTTCCATAATTTGCCAGTAAGCTGAAACCACCACAGGATAGCAGGAGGTGTTTGCCAGGTGCTAAAAGTGACACCAGAAACCAGGTTGATGCCCTTGGTGGCGCAGGCCCATTTCCCTCTAGGATGTTTGGGGTTCATGTGATGCCTTTGGAGAGGCAGCTCAGGAATACTGGAGCTTAAACATTTTCCTTCCCCACTCCAGGTGTTCAAGCTGCTTCTCCAACTGACCAGTACAATGAAGCAAGACACATTTCCTCTGGATTCAAGAAAGATCAGAGAAGAATATGCAAACATTTAATTTTTTTCCAGAGCCCAAAGTAGAAGTAAACTTAATTTTTCATTCAGTTACTGAAGCAATTAATTTTTTCTCCCCTGGTAGTCCCCACCCATTAGCAGTCTCAGTACAGAATAAATCTTTCCCTTTTGTAATCTTTCCCAGATGTTTGCTATTCACTTCTTTCTATTGAAGCTTCTGCTTCCAGACGGCCTCCGTTAAAACGCATTTAGTCAGCAGGTACAACATCTGCCACATTCTTCTTTACCTGTGTCTCCAAGGTAAAGCCCCTTGCTTTCAGGCTTTGAAATAAGCAGCTATTTTCCCCCTTTATGGGCTAAAGTAATAAACCTGTACACAGTGACTTGCAATTAATTTCAAAACCAGACTTTTCAGACAGGCCAAGAGATTGCTCAGTTAGGGCTGGGCTTGGTTCAGCTGCTGATATACAGCAAAGGTGAAGGGAGACTAATCCAGTCCTCACAGTGACTTCTGCACCACCAGGCCAAAGGGCATTAGGGTCTTCAGCCAGGTACATCCCTTCAGCACAGCACAATTGGGCCTCCCTACATTATCCTCACAAGAAGTCTGTGAGGTAGCTTAGGCTTGGAGGCAGTGACTGGCCCAAGGTCCCCCAGTGTATTTCATGGCAGAGCAGGGATTTGAACCCAGGTCCTAGTCCAACATTCTAAACACTATGCCACACTGGCTCTGTCACACCACAATACTCATTCTCTCATCTCTATAGCATGGAAGTATTAGGTTATATACAGCTAGGAATCCCCCCCTTCATTTCATGTTTTATTGTAAACATTGACATTTCAGTAGTTTGGTGGTCCTGAGAGAGAGAGAGAGAGAGAGAGAGAGAGAGAGGAGAAAAGCTATTCATACTTGAGGTTTTCATGATAGTATGTTTTTGTCTGAGCCATTTGGTTGAAAAATAAAGGGATTAGCATTGTGTGCTTTGCAGAAGACAGATTTTGTATGAGTTCTTTGGGCACCATGTGACAGGAAGCCCTAGGATCCTAATGAACTGCCATTTCCCCTTCTTTACTGCACTTTCTCTGTTTCAAACAGCTATGCGGGAGACAAGAATCCAACAGGTTAAACATTTTCTAGAATGGCAGTTATGGAGAAAGCTTTACATTGAACAGGAAGCCTAGAAAGATTGAAAAGGACTCTGCATGGTTAACTGTGTTAAAGAAAGCATTCCCTTTATATTTTGGGAATGAAGAACTTTTGCACGGATCAAACTCTCTGTAGATGTTTCAAGCTGACATGGACTCAATTAGTCACCAGAGGGAGCTCTTGCAAGCTGAAGAAACATTAGAATCATCATGACAAAAGGTCTCCCTTCATTTTTATCAAGTTAACCCTACAGGCAAATATAAGAAACTGCAGGGCATACCATTTCAGTTGCTCAGTCAGAAGGGGCAACCTGCTATTATGATATCCACAGGCTATTACAATATTCTTCAGAATGGCAATGAGATAACAGCACTGAGGCTTTCTTGCAATAAATGGCTAGCGAAAACACCTCTGAGGGCCAGAATACATTTTGTTGGGTTGCCCTTTAATAGGTGTTGTTCAAAGACAAAGCTCTGTATGCCAACTAAGGTTTTTAAGTTCATAAACACACCAGTTGTGAACTTCATAAACAACAAATGCTTTTCAGGGTGTAAAAAGTATTTGACAAAACCAAGATGGACAGGCTAGAAAGAGTCAGATCCACACCTGTTTAAGGCTGGTTTTAATTTTTCTTTGGGACACATTCGTCTAGATATTGCTGGACTACATCTTCAAGCAGCCCCTGGCAGCAGAGCCAATGATCAGAAATGGCAACAGCAGTCCTACAACTGGAGGGCCACAGGTTCCTCCCACTGGAGACTGGTATTGGTTAGGCCATCTGGCCTTGGCCTACTGTTTCCTTAAACCATTCAGTTAGGAAGGCTATAGCCTTTTCTATTCCTGGTCTAAAGCATCATTTGTTGCCATAGCTAGTGTGTATATGTTCAAACTCAGTTACCTATGTTTGCCTTCTTGTGTCCACTGGCCTCCATCAGCACTTGAATATAAAACTTCTTTCCAACAGTGGTGGAAAGTGAGTTTTCTTTCTAGCTGTTCAAGAAAGCCAGTCCTCCTTAAGTAATGGCAGTATGGTGCTCCTAGCTGATGGGGCAAGAATAGCTAACTCAGAAAGATGCTATTTGGACAGATACCTGGCAGCCAGCACCACTGGGTTATTTAGCCTGGTGAGACACGCAGCTTGCTTCCATAAGGAAGATAGCCTCCATGGACTCTTCCTCGACACTACTTCCAGATTTGCGGAGTTCGTAAACCAAATTGTTTGTAAACAGGACTGTTCTTAAACCGAGGTACCACTGTACATAAGTTAGATGCCAATATGAGATAGAAAGACTATCCTTGGGCATCTGAGTAAGAATTTTGTACATAACTAAACTGCCTCAGTTTGGATAAAGATGTAGAGCATGGCATTCGATAGCTTGATAGAATGCTAATTGTGGAGCTACCTGCCTCTTCACAGCTGAAAAGGCAGTTAAAATGAAGTGTTTGAGACAAGTTATTTAAGTTTTAGCACTTTCCCCAGTCAGATCATTCATTGCTGTCATTCAAAAGGATTATAATATCTAAGTAAACAAAAGACAGAAATGGTTGTTTGAAACCTTTAATTTCTTTTTTTTAAAAAACCACCACTCACACACATTGTTGAAAAAAACTACCGAGTCTGAGAATCAAAGGATTCCAACCCAGAATAGTGCAATTCTCCCCCAACGCATATTTTTCCATATAACACAAATTCTGATCACTTTGGTTCAGATACTTACAAGTATTGGCAAGATTGAACTTCTAGTGTATATTTTGGCTGTCTTGTCAAAACACCAATTTACAAATAAAATACTTATTGATTTCTTGATTACATATTTACAGTTACAATTGTCCTCTTTAGTTACATGGGGTACTAAGGTGTTGACATGGAAAAGTAGTTATTTGCCTCCTGTGCCACAGTATCTCAAACTAAACTTAGAGAATACGGTGGCTTTTGTCTTGCAGATACATTTTCACGTGGGTATATTCACTTGAGAAACATTATTGGACTATTTAGATTGGTAAAGAAAGGGTTTCCCCAAACCTTTTAAAAACCAATAAAGGCTGCAATTTATTATTCAGTAATACCACAGACTGTAATAAAAGTCCTTCAGTGTAGTTTGTACCTTACTGCTTCAAGTCTTCCCTATCTCCCCTTTAAGAACAAAGAAACCACTAACATTTTTTAGCATTTTCCAAAAATATTTCAGATAGAGTTGAATGAGCACTCCTTAGCTCACCTACAAGATGATCTGAAATGAACTCCTGTGTGCAACGAGATGGGAAAGTTGTTCTCTTACCTCTCTCCTTCTGTCATCTTGTATATCTGATTGCAGTGTGCAAGGGGACTATGAAAGGTGTAACTCTCTGGAGGAATGCTGCACTGTAAGGGCTAGTGGAAATATAAAAACAATTCTCCTCTAGCTTGAATTTTAATCCCATCAGGAGAAGAATTTCAGAGCTTGAAAATCTTGCCTTTCCTTTGCAGTAGGCTTTTACAAACCCATAAGCCCCTGAAGTTAATTTCTAAGCATCCCTAGAGTTTTTGGACAATGATTCTCAAACTATGCTCCCGAGAAGGCACAACACACCAGAGGTGGGAGGAATTCCAGAGTGGGGAAAATATATTGCAGCAGATAGAACCACTTTCCTCCCAGCAACAGAGCATAGTGTGGCAGTCAACTGCTATGGTAACCATGGACGCTACCACATAGTAGGCAATATATGGGAGTTTTGGAACAGAGACAGCTCCTCACCAGATGCCTGGTTTTTGGAGGGAGTCCAATATGTTTAGTCATTTCAAAAGCCAGCATTACTACCCCAATCACAGAACCTTAGAACCACAGCAACAAGATGCATCTATATTGCTGTGTACAAGGATTCTGTACACCCACATACCAAAGATCCAAGGGCTATCAGTAGGATGGGGGACCTGGAAGGTGCAGACAATTAAGAAAGAGACCAGAGTTCAAACAGTTTGAGAAACACTGCTTTTGAGGAGGTTTCCTTGAACATAAACTGGAGGAAGGTTTTTTTTAGACTCAGTTTAGAATCTAAACAAATGAGAAGCCGCAAGAAGCTAAAACAGAAGAACGTCTAACTGCCTATTACAGAAAAATAGTCAGAAAGAGTTCCAGTTGTACACCTTATCTACAAGACTGGAGTATTTCTTTTAAGACCAGGGTTTAGTAGACGATACAAACTAGCATTACTAGATAAATTATTGCTGATTTTTGCCTCCATGCAGCATTGAAATGAGTCCAAAACTCTTCTTCAATATCACCAAGAAATACTAAAGAGGAGACAACAAGGCTCAGATTTCTCTCAACTGTACATTGCACTTTACATTAGGTCAGCTGTTGTCTATGTTATTTGAATGAATATTGTGCTCACCATGAAACTACTAAGAAACACCCAATGTGTATTGTAGTGACAAGCACTCTTCCTTACAAGGCAATCACAGATTGCAAGTTCTATAGGGTTGCGAAAAACAAAACACTAAGCAGTGATCTGCTCCAAAACACACTGTAAAGCAAAAATAATTTAAGATAAGCCTTAAGTAACACTGTTGGCCTGCTCTGCACCTGTCATGGCCTCTACTGCTTGGGCCCTGAAACTAGTCCAGTTGCTATATAGTTTAACAGGAATCACATAGGAATGCCCTCCTCTTAGGCTGGTGTAACACTCCGAGGACAGGCTTATCAGTAAAGTCACTTGAGGGCCTGCCCAACAGAGTTGCAGTGACATACATTACTGAGCAAAAATCAATTTTGGCTGTGTGTATCCAATAGCAGGGTAGTGGTAAGGGACCACACTATCAGTTTGATAAGCAGCTGACAGACCTATTGCTTTTCTGTCTGCAAGATAGTTTGCTTCCCACTTCCAAGGAGAACAGGTTTTCAAAAACCACAAATCAAAGCACTTCGGATAAGTACTCCTGTGCAAAGCACACTGAAATAGAGTTCCTTACACCTCTCTCCTTTATTTCAGTGGAGAAAGCAAAGAATGTTTTCCAAGGGAACTGTGATTTGTGCCTATAGTTATTATTCCTTCGTACAACATCTGAAGGATTGTACCTTTTACTCTAATCGCCTTCATTTTAAGGCAACCCTATGTTAAAAGGACATTTTGATAAATACTATTCCTATTAAACCCATCCATGTACTCCACATTTCAGCACCAACCAACTTTCTTTGGGCACTTGTACAAAGCTTGTAATTATAAGTTTTGTTTCAAGGCTTTGAAATATGGCAGCTGGTTCAATGACTTCCAACAGGAACCTAGCACTTGGGAGAATAGCCACCAAGAATGGACTTGCTATGCATTATGTCTGTACTGACTTCTCCCACACAACAGTCAAACCCAGAGGCTTCTAGGAAAAAACATCAAGGTAACCTCTTGGCCGCTCTAAGGTGAATAAGCATCTTTTCACCAGTCATTTGCGCAGGAAGCTCACGCAGGTTATTCAAGAAGAAAAAAATTCTAGTTCAGATTCAAGAACTGATCTTCGCCTGCCTTCAGTGCAGATCCAAATATTTAGTCACTGTGAGGCTTCTCAGGAACACCCTGTGGTCAAAACCAAAAATGTTATTGCAGTTTAATGTTTAACATTATGCTGAAACTTAACTGCATTCTTGTAAACAAGCTAAACCTGCACCAGCAGTTGGTACTTCCAGGAGAATGGGGAAGAGACTTACCATCACTGCCCTCCCTGACATTTGCCTTTTGTTACTGCATGCCTCTGGAGTAAGGATATGGGAGCCAGATATGTGGGTACCTGTCACCACAACGTGGATGTTGAATGTCATACGCACACACCTGCATGTAGTGCATGTGATGTCGCGTGCACTATGTGCAGGTGTGTGTGTATGACATTGCACATCCACATTGTGGTGGGCGGCAGCTCCTCTTCCTTCTCCTCTGCAGCCAGCAAGGCACCCTTTTCTGCGGGGAGGGGCTCGGACTTGGGGGCAGAGAGACTCTGCCTTCGCTCCTGAGCTTCCCCCACTGGAAAAGGGTGCCTTGCTGGCTGGCTGCGGAGGGTGGAACTGAACTGCTTCTCTCTTGGAGGCAGCACTGCTGCCACCTTTTCTCATTGACATTGTGGGTGCCAGGTCCCCACAATTATATTATTGTGGGTGATCAAACACCCATGGTCCCCTGGAGTTGGTTCCCATGCACCCAAAAGACCAAGGCTAGGATGATGTACTTCAGGTCACGTAGGTCACGCCCTTGTAAAGTACCAGTTACTCTTATTAGTCACCAAATAACATGTCCTGCATACAGGTTTAACACTCATCAACTTAATTTCCCTTTTAAAAACGGCTAAACACAGATTGTATGATAATTACCATAGCTAGCTGCCGTCCTATGTTTCCTACAGTCACACCTCCCGAGAAAAATATGCATGGTAACCAAGACCGGATGTAAAGGAAATCTGGGGATGTATACCTAAAGAAAGATATAAGAAAGTGAGACATGCCTGCAGTTTTAATATCTGTGCAACAAGGTTTGTCTTTTAATATGAACACTTAGCTATGCTGGAACAAGTGGTAGTTCTGTGAATTTCGATACTGCCATCTTACATTTTGTCAGCAGAATTAAATATCTGATTGTAGAAGATACAGTTCTATTTGTACAGTCACATCCTGTATTATTACCACAGGGGTGGTGAAAGGGATTAAACGTCTCATGCTGTGTAAATAGGGAAAGCTTACAGAATGCTTAGAGGGATAGAAATTGTACAATTCATGTCTTCTCTGCACAAACGTTTCTTTCCTATTTTCTCAATGGAACACACCTAGAATCAAGCTTAAACTGATCCAACCACTTAGCATAAAGACAGTGTGCTGCTGCCTTGTACAAGATTACAATATCATTAAGACAGAGTGGCTTATAACTCTCATTTTTTAGCAGCAGAGTGGGCACACACCTTTGCTTAAGAATGCAAGTCAAATTTAACTAATTTTTACTTTAAAATAGTGAGACAATTTAAAGTCACAAGATGGGATACTTACTGATAAACTCCATTATAGACAAGGAACTGTGTAATCAGAGTAGCTACAAAAGCTATTGTAATTCCAAGACCAAGACCACTTCTTGAACGATCAAATGTCCACCAGAGACCCAGTGACAAAGCTGCCAGGGTCAAAGAGAGTTGGATATTGTTTGCAAAATCCAATTTCTAAGAAGAAAGTTAAGGAAAATTCTGCAGCCTTGAAGTCTGACAAGTTTCTTCTTGCTCATCATAACAATCTTCAGACATAGCCAGATTTAGTTTTCTGCTTCAGTGCTGTTAGATGGTGTCTACACCATCACCCCTTTCACATTTTATTTGTCTCTTGTGTTGCATACATTCCTCTTTTGTACATGTATACCTGTATATGCAGTATACAAATGCAAAAATCACTTCAAGCAAGGGTCAAAAGTAGCAAATGGGTACCATTAGCCTGCAGGGGACAATTTTTCCCACAGCTTCTGTCAAGATATAACGAGGACCATTGCAAGTAAATTAGTACCTCTTCAAATAAGGTGCTAATTTTCTTGTAATGAAATTCAAAGTGAACTCCTGGGGCATATCTGAAGGAGAAGCTAGTGCAAAAACACTAACAAGCTTTATTTGAGAAAAAGGCAAATGCTACATATTCATGCATGTGCCCTACTCGACTCTACTAACAAGTGAGGATTTGTGTGTGTGAAAAATTCAGACCACCGATTGAGTGGAGTCTGTGACAATCTAATTCTATCCCAACATCCCAGATCTGTTATTCTGTTAAACAAGCTGGGCTGTAGCAAACTAAGTTTTACTCTGAGTAAACCCACTTGAAATTAATGGACACACTTAACATAGGGTCTCATCTGAGTAACTAATGGAAAGGATTACTCAGTGGGTCTACTCTGAGTAAAATTTAGTTGGCTACCACCTGTTCTTTTATTTTAAATCTCCTTTTACTCACAGCACTACTAATTTTTTATGTGTCTTATAAACCACCCTAATCCTCAGGACCTTTTAGCTACCTTAGTGGAGAAATTTGTGTTAACAGCAGCTGCAGCCCTAAGAACAGCAAATGCAGCTGATACAATCAGCAATGTCCTACTTGCCACTATCAAGCCCTTGTCTCACTATAGGCAGACAAGTGGTTTCTTTGTGACAGTCCAAGAAGCCTTATCCCAGATCCTTCAAAGCATTTCCTAGTACAGGACATTGCTGTGAGACACACAATCCATTTCAAGTGACTATTCTAGAGGCACAAGTCCAGAAATAAGGATTTCAAAATGCAGTCATTTCTCCACATTCATGCTGAATTTCTCCACATTTCGGCTGAAGTTGGTCAAGTATAGACTGACAAGAACTTTAAAAATAAATTCCATTATAATTATACCAGATATGGACATTAATCACATCATTCTAAGGATACAGCACTTGCATGGTTAATGCCGACAAAGACTGCTATACACCGCATAACACTGGCCCATTCTCGCTTGAATTTGTGAGGCTCACCAAGATGACTGTCAATGCAGGGATACAGCAGGCCAATAACAGCTGTAAAAGAAAAAGGAGAAATTGTTCATACAGTTTTAATATCCAAGCTGTTGTAAATATAAATCTATTCAGCACATGCCAATGTCTTTTGCAGACTAGAACCCATTTTCCCTACTGTTGTGTCTGCTAATGATATTTCACAAATTGTAGTGTTTCACATATTCTTACGTTATGCTTCAAGATGTGGGACTATGGTGGAACATGTATGAATCTTAAAGTTACAGAAGGAACTCATTTCTTCCTGTATATACTACACTGCTTATATTAAAAAGAAGTTTGTTTCTGTTCCTTGGTAGAAAATGTAAGCCTCAGGTAGAAGCAGAATCAATATTTTAACAGTAATAATTAGCTGCCTAGACCAAGAGCCCAAATTTCTTCTGACTTTTTATTACAGATATTTCACACATACACCCCCCTTCCTCTGAAAAATATATCCACATGGAACACATTTAAGTACTAATGATTTTTTTAAAAATTCAAAGTTCAGGCATTTGACTTCCACAGCACTTTTGCTAGTTAACAGGTAAACTATTGGCTGTAGGCATCACTGAAGAATGCATTCTAGAGCAACCAGCCAGTTTTTATTAGCAGAAGTTGCTTCCAATCATTCCAGTCATTCAGATTGTTACAGGACAGTGTACACCAGGGGTGCCTAATGTGTGGCCCTCCAAATGTTGGTCAACTCCACCTCCCAACATCCTTGATCACTGGCCATGCTAGTAAAGCTGATGGAAGTTGGAGCCCAATACTACCTGGTAAGCTGCCAACACACACAGCAGCTGCTTAAATAGCCTCATCAGGTGACTTGGTTCCCACTCACTGCCACACATAAAGCTATTTTCCCACAGTGTTTTTCCCCAGTATGAAGAGTTTCCTTATCAACATGGCCAACTGATGCTGGGCTGGAAACTCTTAATGCCAGACAGAACTATTGCTCTACATGTTTAGTTACAACAACAGGAGTACAGTGGTACCTTGGGTTAAGTAAGTACTGAATTCGTTCCAGAGGTCTGTTCTTAACCTGAAGCTGTTCTTAACCTGAAGCACCACTTTAGCTAATGGGGCCTCTTGCTGCCGCTGCACCACCAGAGCACGATTTCTGTTCTCATCCTGAAGCAAAGTCCTTAACCCGAGGTACTATTTCTGGGTTAGTGGACTCTGTAACCTGAAGCGTATGTAACCCGAGGTACCACTGTACAGTGGTGCCTCGCAAGACGAAATTAATTCGTTCCGCGAGTTTTGCCGTCTTGCGATTTTTTTCGTCTTGCGAAGCACGGTGTTGGGAAAGTTTTGGAAAAGCTTCAAAAATCACCAAAGTCTTTAAAAACCTCAAAAAAGGCTACCACACCGCGTTCTATGACTTGCTCCTCGAAGTCAAGTCGCAACTGTATTAACGGTGTTAAGAAAAAGGAAATAAACTTGCAAGACGTTTCCGTCTTGCGAAGCAAGCCCATAGGGAAAATCGTCTTGCGAAGCAGCTCAAAAAATAAAAAACCCTTTCGTCTAGCGAGTTTTTTGTCTTGCGAGGCATTCGTCTTGCGAGGTACCACTGTATATTAAAAGGTTAAGTCCATTTCAACTGGCCTCTGAGTGACAGCAGTTAATATACAGGCTAGAACAGGGGTCGGCAAGGCTTACCGGGCATGGGCTGGATCACTCCCACGGAGATCCTCCGTGGGCCGGACCGGCGCAGTGCGATGCCGGAAATCACGTCTGCGCATGTCAGCGGCGCCGGAAATCACTTCTGTGCATGCCCAGATGCCGAAAATCGAGCCTGCGCAGAAGTGATTTCTGGTGCCGTGGAATAGTCCCCGTGCTGTGCTAGTTACCGCAGCGCACGGGGGCTGGCCGAAAGGGCAGCTTCGTTTGGGGGTGGCTTGTGGGCCGGTTAAACGGCCTCCATGGGCCTTAGGTTGGCGACACCTGGGCTAGAACTTGGTTTTGTTTCATTTCAGAGGGCACACAATACTGTGGGACAAACACTGGCTGTTTCTGTGTAGCATATCTGAAGTTCACTGCTTTACTCATGATGCAGAGAGGTGGCTAAAACTGAAGCCACCCGTTTTGAGAAGCACATACATATATATCCTGCTCCAGAGCAACACCTGCAGCCAAAGGGGCAGGTGTCACCTGCACTGGCAAGAGCTCTGTTTTGTACTGCAGAAACTTACTAGAAAACTAAATTTTATGTTGCCAGAAAATAACATATCGAATTCAGACAGTAATCAAAAGGAATGGCAGTAGCCAGTAGATTTCTGAGATTGGGATAAACCTTCATTGGATTAAAAATCATAGAACTGTAGAGTTGGAAGGGACCTCAAGGGTCATCTAGTCCAACTCCCTGCAATGCAGGAATCTCAGCTAAAGTATCCATGACATGAAGAACTTTTGGGGTAGCTTGATAAATTTAGGCTTTTCTCCTTCGTCTCTTTTCTGTGTTGCTCTCTTCAAAAGTTTTACCAACATAAAGATTCATGTTTACACTTCTAACATTTCTGCCAAGCATTGCAACATTCTACTTAATAGAATACAGCTGTGTTTTAATGCTCCCCTATAGTGCCATTTGAAGCCACTGTGTAGTTAGCAGCAGGAGTTGTTTAACATTCAGCTATTTGTTCTGCTTCTTTATATAACAAAAAAGATTTCTATTTTAACTAAGCATTTTGTCCTAGGTATGCTACAGCTTTTGCAGGGGGGCGGTGCAGGAGGAAATCCCCTTACATTTCTGCTGGCAAATGAAGCTGCTGCAGCTGCTCTCAGAACAGGCAGCTAGCCAAGCTTCACTTCCCATCCTCTGCTGCCGCAACATGTGACTTCCTTGTTTTTGATTCAAGTATGTGGCATGTTAAGGCAGGCAACCAATAGGAGCGAGAACATGCGACTCACCAGTTTCAAAAGGGAACCAATCATAAGGCAGAGAGTGGTGATGAGTCATGCAAGCTCCTGTGCTAAAACTTTGACAGACAATAGCTTGGAGGAAACTCTTCCCTAATTCCAGGGCTAACCACAGTGCCAACTCTTAAAGCAGCATCAGCCCACGAAAGTAACCTGCTATACATCCCTGCTCTTTCCTAGACGACAACATGCTTCTGCTTAATCCGATTGTTCTCTCAATTTGCTCAGCAGCTAGATGGCATTAACAAAGCATGCAGACTCTTAAGTCATGGCCAATCCTGAAAAGAGTGCAGCAGACTCAAGAAGCAAACCCCAGCAAGTTGCGGGTCTCAAATACCACCCAGCGACAAAATACAATCCAATGTCTAGAACTGCCAATGCCTTCTTTCCACAATGATTCCCAAACAACTAAAGTTTAGTCTGGTGACTTACCTGCTGCTGTTCCACAGCAAGGGGGCACCCACCAAGCAGAGGAGAAGATTGTAGAAATGACCTCCTCGGGGAAGAGTGTTACGTTCCTCTGGATCTGCAGCAAGTTCAGCACCAGGGCGAGGAAAGTGCCAACGACAAAGAGCACCAGGCTCCGTTGCACTACGTCCCTGCTCAAGTTCAAACTGCTGCTGGTGCCACTGCCAAGGTTTGAGCTGCTTGGGTTCCGCATGCTGTGACTCACTAGTTTTAGAGGAGAACTCGAGACAGACGAGCTCAACATTTCGCCCACTTTGGCTGCCAGCCCTGTGGCACTTCCACCTAAGGGGGTTCTCTGCCTTCTCCTGGCAGTACAGGAACAACTCCAGGTATGATCTTCTGTTCTGGACACAGGCTTCTCCATGAGATTTCTGAAAGGGGCATCAAGAAGTTATTAGTGCCAACATTAGGCTGCAAAGCCAGCCATCAAGTATGCCATGTGCTTTATCCGTGTAACTACTAATGGGTTGTACTTGTCTACCATGAGATATAGGAATTTTCTTTACAAATGAGAAGTCAGGGTCAGAAAAACATATGAAGAAAACCCAACAATCCTATGGTCAGCTTCAGTACTTCAGGAAGTAAGAATATTCTATAGCCTTGCTTTGGACACTAGAGAATAGTTAAAGAGTTCACTTCCATGTGAGGTGTGGAAGCCCAAGACAATTTTTGAATATGGGTAATACTCCACTGATGGATAGGATACACTGTAGTTAATATAGCATAGTAGCTAAGAGAATGAGTTGCAACCTAGGAGGTCATTCATTTAAGTGATATCTCAGTCATGATTCACAAAGTGACCTTAAGGAAAGAACTCTCAATTCTCATCCCATGATGTTGGGATAATGCTTGTTTACCATGCAGGATTGTTGTAAGGATTGTTCTCATAATGTATGCAACTGTCATTCTGAACACCGAAAATGCTATATCACTTGCCATTACTATTACAAAACAATCTAAGCGACAGTATATGTAATGGCTGGAGCGCTTGACCAGACTGAGGAAAAACAGGTTCAAATCCCCACTCAGCCATGAAGCTCAAAGTGTGACCTTAGGCCAGTCACCCTCTCACAGTCCAACCTATCACATAAGGCTGTTTCAATGATAAAATGAGAATGGGACAGGGGACCATGTGCACTACCTTCAGCTTCTTAAAAGGAAGGGTAGGAATATCTACCTAGAGCTTTAAACATGCCCCTACACCATGACAAAATTATAAACAAGCATATAATAGCATGTTTTCAGACATTGCACATGAAGTTGTCAATTGCCATACAAACAGTGATGCTTATATAGTGACAAAAATACTGGATCCTTTAGATTCTTATACATATTAAGAGAGTAACACCAAGCTGTCCTAGTATCAGTGACCTGGGACAGTTAATCAATGCTTATAATACAGATTTTCAATGGCTTGGTCTAATAGCTAAAGAGTTCACAATTTCATTTCCCCCCTCCAGCTGATTACTAACATCCCCAGTGAGTTGGCCCTTCCAATTCAGAAGAGAGAAAACTTTGAAGTGCCTCAAAAGAGCATTCATTACATACATGATCCAGAATCCATTCTGATGTTGTAGAACTAGACATGCTAGATGATCAAAATAACACATTTTGCTTTATAAAAACCTATTGCTTGCATAGCAATTTATACAAAGCTACAAGCAGCCCTTGTTATTTGTATAGACACAATATGAAGACAATGCCCTGATCTGGGAAAACCTTTAACAGACTACCTATACTGCTTTTAAGATGTGCCTATTGGAACTTGCTAGGATCTTCCTTTTGGTGTTTGGGCAGCGGCTTCCAATACTGCCTTCTTTTAAAAGAAAGCAGTTTTGCTACACCTTAAAGACTAAAGTTTTATTATAAAATATGTTAGTCTTTAAGATGTCAAAAGACTGCTGTTGTTGCTGCAGCTGACTAACATGCCTGCCCCTGGAAATTATTTTAGTGAAAAGTTTTATCAACTGGATATTAATCTTTATCCACCTGAAGCTAACGTTATTTCTGCTACAGTCCCCTGCCCTGGGAGGGATTACTTGAATTGTACTGCTTCCAGGGATCTCCTACTGCTGGAGGGCAACAGGTCCAATTTTTCTCTAGAATCAATAGCCTGACAATTCTCTTTCCCACATATGAGAGCTGGGTGCAACCCAAACCAAAAGTGCAAGCATTCCTAGACTGCTTTCATTCCTGGGAATATTTCACCAGAGAGAAACTAGCCTTTCAGAAAGCTAGGAGTATTGAATGCCTATCAGGAGCAACTGATAGTTGCTCTATGCTCCATCCTCTACCCTTGTGTTAGGTTTTTCAAGTATCTATTTAGATCTTCCATCCCCATTTATTGAAAACACTTGGGGAGGACTTAAGTACCCGCTACCCATTCTTTTTGGAGAACGCTTAGATCTTCACCTGTAAAATAATGACAACAGGGTCAAAATTCCCAAGTGCTGGAGATTCACACATACCTTCCATCTCTAAAAATTACAATCCTATGCATGCATACTTAAAAGACCCACTGAAGTCCGTGACAGCTGCTTCCAAGGAAACAGACAAAGAACAGAATCATAGAATTGTAGAGCTGGAAGAGACCCTGAGGGTCATCTAATCCAATCTTCTGCAATGCAGGAATCTCAACTAAATCATACATGACACGTGGCCATCCCAGGCCTTTTGCCAAGTTTGCTGCTTATGTGATGATTTGTGTGTGCGAGTACCACAAAACCCACCCTGCCTAGCCTTTCCCCGGCTTCTACAGATGCATAACACCTTCGCAGGATATGCCTGTTGCAACCAACCAAGGTGGGGAAGGTGCTGGCAAGCTTTTATCTTCCACACAGCTACGTCTGGGGCTCACTGCTGCTTCGAGGATCCGCCTAGACGGGATCAAAACGAGGGGAGCTTTTTCCACCTTCCTTCTCCCTCCAGCAGCGGCCCCAGGCTAGATGACCGCCGATTATTTTACTGCAAAAGGGCGCCTTTCTTTCTTTTTGTGCAAGGCACAGAGAACAAATACGGGAGGGGGCGAGAGATAGGGCTGCGTGCTCGCGTCTCCTACTTGTTGGGCATCCCTCCCCCTGCAGGGGCAGCGGCGAAAACGCAGCAAAGGGGCTGGAGGAGCAAAGCAGCCCAGCTTTGATCCCCAACGCCGCCACCCGCGCTCCCCGGTGAGAAGACCACCAAGGAGGGACGAAGGCCGCAGCCATTTCTCTCCTTCCCCCATCCCCGCCATAACCTCCCCCCCATTGGTTGCCCGGCCCCGTCAGCACCTACCGCCCGGAGATAGACTCCCCCTGTATAGGGAGGCTTCGTGCCTGGGACTTACGGTCCTCAAGGCACCCGCAGCCGCCTCCATGAAGCGGGCAGGCGGGGGTGGCAGCCCCCCCTCGCCGCCGCCCCTTTCCCTCGCTCCTGCCCGCCTGCCTACCTGCTCAGCCAGGCTCCGTCTCCCTCAGCCGCACAGGTCCCTCCCTTCTCCCCGCTCGCGCGCCACCAGCGCCTGGCTGAAAGGCTTATAAAGCGGCGAGCCCCGAAGTCACGTTACTCGCAGCCGACCTACCCGCAGCCGCAGGGCCGGCCGCGCCAGAGCCCTCCCTCGCCTCTCTCCGCGGGAGGGGGCGCCGCGGCGCTGACGACTGTATCGGCGGCGGCGGCGGCGGCCGAAGGGGCGGGGGGAAGCCGACAGGGAGCTTTCCTGGGTAGCCCCGAGAACAACATTTCAGTCTGGTGAGGCCGCTCCAGCCAATGGGAGGCAGGCGGCCCATATGACGTCGGGGACACACCACCCGCCCGCCCTCAACTGACAGCTCGCGCGCTGACAGGGCGGGAACAGGGGTTGGGTGAGGTGGCGCTTCCCGCGGGGAGGGGGAGGGACGGGGACGGGTGTCCGAAGGGCGCGCTCGCGACGTGCCGTGGCGCGAGGCGGGTTCGCTCCGCACGGAACGTTCCATCCCCAACTGCCAGTTGGCGGGCCTTGCGCAGCGCCCCCTCCCGCCCACGCAGTTCTCTCGTGTTCATAACTAGGGGAGACTTCGGTTTCCATATCTGTCTGTGTGTCTATCTATCTATCTATCTATCTATCTATCTATCTATCTATCTATCTATTACCTAGCCGTTTTCTGCTTTCAGGGAGTAAATGGGTTGGCTCCTCTTCGTCCTCCCTATTATTATTATTATTATTATTATTATTATTATTATTACCACAATAACCCTGTGAGGTAGCGAGAAAGTGGCTGGGCTCAAGGTCACCCGATGAGCTTCACAGCTTGAGTTGGGGTTTAGCACTAGGCGAGGGTCTCCCTTGAGGCTTATTAAAAATACTTCAGACTGCAGTCTGTGAGGCTTTTTTATTTTTAAACAAAACACCTTCGCTTTCTTGCTGTTTGTACCCTAAAAACCGCCCTCCCCCAAATTGCCCTCCCGCGCAGGATTAAGACCTTTAGAGGTCCTAAGCACTTAAAAGGTTTGGGTGCCCCCAAATAGATCTAATTCAAAATATAAACAATACTAAACCGTAAAATAAACTTTCATTTTTTAAAATGAAATGAAACCTACAGTAAGATGGAAAGTAATGTTTATTTTTGTATACTTCCACTTTGCTTATATTAGAAAAGGTTTTATCCTACTTTTTCTAATTGCAAAGTCTTTTATCAGATCCTCAAAACGAATCATATGTAACACATCTGATTCTATACTTAGTAGAGATAAAGCCTGTCTTGTTACATAGTTGTTTGATTGGGATTTTTTAATATAGTTCATATGAGAAAATGAAGGCTTAGCTGAGCACTTTGAGACCATTAATGTTAAAAATCTGGCAATGGAAAATTTATTTGGTACCCCCCTTCCCTTGATGCCTAAGCACGTTCTTGTTTTGTTTAATGGTTAATTCAGCCCTGCACCCTCTGCAGGCTGTGCTCCCTGTGGAGGAGATGAGCTCTGGATTAGATAGTTGTGTTGCTGGGGTATGTTGTTGTTGCTGCTGCTTTTAAACACCTGGATTGGAAACCAAGCAATTGCATCTGATCCCCCCAAAACCAAACAGTGCCCTCAGGGTAGAAGACACTTTTGCAGCTCCTGGGTGACTTGAGACTTCTCAGATCATATGGGAGGCATCGATAATATGATTATTTCCTATACCAGCATTGGCCCAGGTTTTGGGAGAGGGCTATGTGGACGTGGGATGGGCTCTTGAGGGCTTTGCTATCCAAGAGCCATAGGAAGACCCATGCCACTGTGTTTAGCACACAACAGGAAGGTAACAACATGAGAATTTTACCACTCTGTTCCTCTATGTCCTCAGATTTCCTGAAGATCTCTGATGCAAATGCAGATGCATGGTTAAATTATCGTTACTTAAGACGCAAGAGGTGGTCAGTTACCCATGTGGTTGTATGCCCATCATTTAACATGTGCTCATCTGCATCCACAAAATGTTTAATTTTAACAACAGCCCTGAAATCTGTTTGCAGTGCCAATATAGGAGGCTTCTTCATGCACCTTTTCAGGCAACCTGTGTTTTTAGTCAAAATACCACAGGCTATACCAGAGCTTGGAAAATTCATTTTAAAAATAAACTAGTCCAAGTTCAACATGTTCACAAAGGAACTAATTCCCGTTCATGTTTGTCCCTTTACAAAAACAATTACTGTAGTTTGGTTCACATTCAGTTCAAGTTCATCCAAATGATCCTTGGCAGTTTTTCAGCATTCAGAATGTTACAAGCTGCTGTGCTGAAGTATAAAATATGTTTTAGAGGACTAAGAATACATCAACACACAGATATACTGTATACACACAAAATTCTTTATTTTTTTCCAATTCTATTTCAGCTTAAAGGCCAAAGAATCTAAAAAGTGGGGTGGGGGTGGGGAATGTAAGAGAACAAACTTGAAGATGAACTAGAAATTGTTCAAAGTTCTTCCCTAAAATGAATGAAATTCTCTTTCAGTTCACCCAGCAATTATGGGAACTACTTCTAGGTGTAGTTCAGAGATCTTTGAACTTATCCAGTGAACTTTATTAAACTGAAATAGTTCGTTCAAAGCACTTGGATTTCTATGTTACTGTATATGCTGGTGCCACATACTGAAGTAGTCTGTCTAGAAGTGCAAATCTATTCTGTGACAGGCAACTCCCTGTTTGCGCGGGATATGCGTTCCGGGTCATAGCGCTTGTGTGAAATCGCATATAATTGGAAACCCATTAAAAAAGCCTGCAAACACCCTGTTCGCCCCTACCCTGCCCTGGTTCTACCCCTTTTTGTGACATTTTCAGGTGACTTCTGGGTTTGGCATGATATACATGTATGTTGTCATGCAAATATTGGACATGCCTAAAAGCGGTTGCTGCCTGTATGTTGGGAGTAAGTCTGAGTTCAGTGAAACTTACTCCCAAGTAAATGAGTTTAGATAGCGCCTAGAAAAGCCTGAGTATTTCTTTAATAAATAAAAATTACCCAATGTTCTTTGTACTAGAACAGGGGTCAGCAAACTTTTTCAGCAGGGGGTCGGTCCACTGTCCTTCAGACCTTGTGGGGGGCCAGATTATATTTTGGAAAAATATATATGAATGAATTCCTATGCCCCACAAATAACCCAGAGATGCATTTTAAATAAAAGGACACATTCTACTCATGTAAAAACACGCTGATTCTCAGACCGTCCGCGGGCCAGATTTAGAAGGCAATTGGGCCAGATCCAGCACCCGGGTCTTAGTTTGCCTACCCATGTACCAGAACGTATGAGGCAGTGGTGAGGTGTAGGTGAAAGTTCTTCTGTACAGTAGAACTTTACTGATTTAGGTATTGCCAAATACAAGGACTTGGGAGATTAGCAGCCTCATCTTGTATGTTTCTTCCCCTTGTCACACAGATGGATTGAATTGGGATCTGGAATTGTGAGGTTACAACATAAATAGTTCAACTAGTTTTCAGGACTCAAAAATTCAAAAAAATTCTAGTTCAAGACTAGAGAGTTAAGGTTAACTTTCCCATTTTTTCCTTAAGACCAGCTTTTCCATTACTTCATTAAATGTTTGTCTGACAGGAAATCGGCAGAACATAGTTCATCACTTAGAAAGCATTGGTATGCAAAGCTAAACGTGACTGTAAAGACATCAACTCTGGGCAAAGTTCATCAGAGTTCTTAACTTCAGTGAACCTTTGTTGCAATGAAGCAATAGGGAAAGCTTGCCAAAGAACACTAAAAGGGACAGACCATTTATCTGTTAAAATTAAGGCTCACCTGACCCAGGTCTCAGAAATGCTAGTAGCTTTATTGGGTAAAGGTGAACGTTATCCTGTGGTCATTGGTGACTCTTGTATATGTGTCATTGCAGTACATTCTGGTCCTCTGGCAGGCTGCATGGTAATTACGGTAATTCCTTTCCCATATCTCAGCTCAAATGCAGGTGACTTGCCTTTCTTTTTTCATGAATACTTTTGTTGTAATTTCTGATACTCTAAAAATAAATTTGATAATTCTTCTTGTTTCCATTTCCATATTGATTATGGGTTGTATCCAACATTAGTAATAGTCAGAATAAAAGGTAAAGGGACCCCTGACCATTAGGTCCAGTCGTGACCGACTCTGGGGTTGCGGCGCTCATCTCGCTTTATTGGCCGAGGGAGCCGGCGTACAGCTTCCGGGTCATGTGGCCAGCAGGACTAAGCCACTTCTGGCAAACCAGAGCAGCGCACAGAAGTGCTGCTTATCTTCCCGCTGGAGCGGTACCTATTTATCTACTTGCACTTTGACATGCTTTCCAATTGCTAGGTGGGCAGGAGCAGGGACCGAGCAACGGGAGCTCACCCCATCGCAGGGATTCGAACCGCTGACCTTCTGATCAGCAAGTCCTAGGCTCTGTGGTTTAACCCACAGCGCCATCCGCATCCCAATAGTCAGAACTACATAAATTAATACCTTAGGTTTATTACTTTCAGTGGGTCTACTCTGAGTATACTGGTAATTTATTTGGATACAACCCTATAATTTTATCACAAGTCTGTATCTGACACATGAGAAAATCCTCGCTATTTGACAGAACCATAGTAGCTCCCCCTCCACCTCTGCCACCGCCAAGTAGGAGAGTCTATATTGAGGTACTTATGGGCTTAGGATATATTTCAGACAATGCAGGAAGTGCTGGAAATAAAGCTTTTGCCAGTTAATTAGTAGGTGTATGGGACAACCAAAGGTGATAAAGAGCACTCCATGCCAGTGGGGTCAACTGAGTCTCTAATGACAGCAGTGGAGTGCTCCCTGACTATGTGACTGCTCCAGTGGAGGAGTGCAACCTTATCCAGAACAGGCAAGCACTTCAGTTTCGAGACCCAGGAGCCACCCACTCACAGGATCTTTCTCTTATCAGGATTCATTTTCAGTTCATTAACTGTCATCTAAACCATTCCTGTTTCTCCGCACTGGTGCATGGACATGCACACTCCTTCCTGACTCAGATGTTGCAGGGAAAAAAAGCTGTCATTTACTTATTGGTGACACTTGCGTCCCAAATCATGACCATTCCCAATGGCTGCAAATAGATGCTCAGTAGCATTTGAGACAATATAGTACATTGCAGCATTCTACTGTTGAGGTGCCAGGAGGCTGAGATGCATAGCTCATCCACACTCGTGCTTGTTCTACATCTCCTTCTTCATGTCCTGTGATTTCTATGCATGGGTTGAAGAGGGTTGGGGTTTTTTTGGGTTTTTTGTCCCACTGCTTTCCCCACAAAAACCTGCTGTTTATCGCTGAATCAGAACAAACACAAATCCACAGAAAACCCAGTTGGTATTTGTTACAATTCAGCCGTAAAATTTCCAAATTTCCTCCTTGAATATTATTTGATACATATCCTGGTGGTTTAAATTTTCTTTTTCAAGGTGACATGCAAGTGTAAGTGTAACAGGTCACTGACTAAACTAAGGTCAGCATCCTTCTGATACACTTGCATCAACATCTCAACACTGTTGTGAATCTGTTCCTTGGTTGCTTGCAAAAAGGAAACATTGCTAGCTACACTCCTATACAATGATGTTCTTCTGTCTAGTGTTTGGCCCCAAGAGCAACCATGACAGGGATAAATGAATTTACCCTAAACTTGTCTCTTGAAGAAAGTTTGTCTAAGGCTTGGGTGTTGTCACATCATAGGCTTTTTTTTTTTTTTTTGATACCCTCTGCCTTATTTTGACAGTTTTGTATTCAACATCCAGTAGAGGAAATTTTGCTTGCTGTTCAGTTTCATCAAAATTAGCTTGAATGTTTGATATGAACTGCAATAGCTGCTGTAAATATTTGCACATATGCTGAAAGAAATTTGCAAACTTTGGTGTGCCTTGCTAACATCATGAAATTGCTGTAGCAAATGGGTCCATAAATCCAGCACTATCTCTGGCCGAGTATGGATTTGAAGCTAACTATTTGGATTTGAATCCAGTGCTTTAGCAATCATGCCAAATGCCCTACACTGTACTTCAGTGCACTACACAAATCAGGCTCGATGTATGAATTTTAAATTGTCTTTAGCAGTACACACCCCAGTGTTTGGAAGCAATCATTTTTGTCCTCAATAACAGGTTGGTTTTAACAGTTAATTGTTATCCTTTGTTGTTGCCACTGCTGTTGTGTCGTTTTCAACATCTTTTACTTTATTTTTAAACCTGTATTTAAGTTCCATTTGGTGGTTTCCCTGCCCCCCCCAGAACAAAGCAACAAAGGATAATTAAAAAGATGCTTCAGCCTGTGCATCTGTGCAAATTTCTATCATAACTCCCGTATCATTAACTCATCACCATCCCACACACAGCTGTGAACGAGAAAAGTTGCCTCTGCTGTATCCTCGAAGTTCAAATGTCATTAGCAATCAGCAAAGCTGCTCTAGCAAAATGTTGAAATGCTCTCTCCACGTGATATTGGATCCTGGAGCTTTCCAGTCATTCTGAGTGGCTGTGTGGCTTCCTAACCTTTTTGCAAGAAGTAAGAAACTCACTTAAGGTTTTCTGTGCAATGGCAATGAGATAGTCCAAGAACCCATCAGCAACAGAAGATTGGCCCATTTATACATCTTAAGAGACCTGTGACATTTCTAAATGCTCCAGTCTTAGGAATGCTGCTGGCGTGTTTCAGGGATGTCAACTCTAACACATCAAGTTTAGGATGCCATATTTATATCATAAGGAGCACTGATGAATCTGGTGCCAGCTTGTAGAGATCTTCTCGTATCATAAAATAGCCAATATTACTATGTTACAGGGGCCTGATGCCAAGTCAGACCACATAATGTGGTCAGTACCATTGCAGTTATCTATTATGGTTTATAATCAGGTTGGTTGGTTTGTTTACAGAAATATGAGGTGCGCAGCTAGCATGTATATATTAGCAGGATCATTTCTCTTTGTTGGGATGAGTGGTTTAAGAGGAAGTGCTTCTGGAGCTAACATAAAGGAGCAGGGGAATGCCTGCAGTTGCACTTCTGGGAGATCACAGAATGCATAGCATCAGAGAATGCAAAGCAACTGAAGGGAGGGGCAAAAGGAGGGGGAAGGTGGGGTAACTGTCTTAAACATTAAATGGGTGTGTGGCAGACTAGCCCTGTGTGACCCAGCAACCAGTGAGTGCTGGTGAGACCAACAATCTGAAGAGAGAGAAGAATTTGTTAGAGGCTGACAGTTTAAGGACTTTCTGCCAGTGCAGCCTTCACAGAAGTATAGCATCTTGCTGATGAGAAATCATAAACATTGCCACATATAGCTAAGTCTAGACCTCTATTGTGTGAAAAGCCGGGAAGAAGAAGAAGAAGAAGAGTTTGGATTTGATATCCCGCTTTATCACTACCCGAAGGAGTCTCAAAGCGGCTAACATTCTCCTTTCCCTTCCTCCCCCACAACAAACACTCTATGAGGTGAGTGGGGCTGAGAGACTTCAAAGAAGTGTGACTGGCCCAAGGTCACCCAGCAGCTGCATGTGGAGGAGTGGAGACACGAACCCGGTTCACCAGATTACGGGTCTACCGCTCTTAACCACTATACCACACTGGCTCACGGGAGAGTTCTATCAATTAATACACCCAACATATTGGTCATGTTTCCAAGTACCCATCTTCAGTGAGGGTGTCTTATCACAGAGGGAACTTGACATAGGTCTGCCACTTACAACTGTACACCCATGATAACACAGTGTCTGGTTCCACTGGCAGTCTCCACTGTTATTTTTTTTTTTATTCAACACCATAAATCCTATAGAAAGTTATCAGTGAAGAGCAGGTTCATAAGGCAGCCAGAACAAAGCACCTGCAGGATAGCTCAGGTGGTAGAGCATGAAGCTTTTAATTTCAGAGCTGTGGATTTGAGCCCCACATTGGGGAAAAGATTCCTGCATTGCAGGAGGTTGGACTAGATGACCCTCATGGTCCCTTCTGACTCTATTCTGTCTTTTTGTGTGTGTGTGGCATTGATCCAAGTGAACAATTAACCATGTTCTGAACTCATTCCCATGTGTAACATACATGGGTGTTCAAAGTACTCCTGTTCTTAGGTAACAGCAGAGCTCAGCAGGCATGGCCAATGGCCTGTAAAATGGAAAACAATATGCTCAGAAACAAACTCAGTACAATAGTGAGGGGGTTTCTCAGAAAACAAGCTGATGTGGAAAGTTTTCTGAAAACAAACAAAACACACCAGCATTGTATGCTAAGATATCAGTGGACTCCCTCTTCCAGATTTCACTGGAATAATTTTAAGGGCATATTATGCGTATGACAGAATTGCCAGACTTTCCAGTCACAAATCCAGAACTGCAACTTCATTGCTGAAGCAGATCCTTCCTCTGCTGTACACACCCTGTGGGGAAAGCTTATCAGATATGCTGAACCAAAAGAAATGTGTGTCCTGGAAAGACAACAACTTTCTGCCCCAAGCACTGAGAAGCTGCTGTGTATTTTAAAACCCAATCCTGATGTTTCTTCATGAGAGTTTCTCTAGCCAGGAGCTGCTGATAACCATCTGTGCATTGGTGCCTATGAGGCACAATGAACATCCTGTCCAAAGAAGAGACCCAGATAGGGTTGCCTATTTTCACTTTTCAAAAAGTGAAAATCTGGACACAAAAGTGTTGGGTTTTTTTGGCCAAAGATGTTGAGCAAAAAGAATTTGCAAAACCCCCCGACACTTCTGACATGGCAGCCCTACAGAAGATAAACTTGTAGCAAAAGCTTTGCACAATTTAATCATTTTCAGTTTTATTTTGCAAACTGTTTAAAGACTTCTTGGTAAGGCAGTATCATTATAATTTATTAAATTTATTGCTTGGTTTTTTCTTACCAAGGTAACTCAAAGTGACATACGTTGAAATTAGCAAAAGAAAAACAAGGAAAAATCTAAAAGAATCCTATTTTTAAAAGGATTAAAACATCCTGCCCATGCGAGACCACAGGCAATTAAGAGCCAAATGCCTAGCAAAAAAAGAATGGTTTTGCCTGGCGACTAAAGCTCTGCAGTGATGGCACCAGGCAGGCCTCCCCAGGGAGAGCATTCCACATGCAAGAAGCCAGCACTGAAATGGCGAGGGGCCACCCATTTTTGTCTTGCTACCCTCTGGACCTCTCAGGAGGGGGCATGCAAAGCAGGACCTCAAATAATAGTCTTAAGGGCTGGGTTGGTTCATATGGGGTCCTAAGCCACATATGGCTTCATAGGTTATAACCAGCACTTTGTATTGGGCCTGGAAACAAATTGGTGACCAGTGCAATTGGGCCAGGATTGGTGTTACGTGCTTATACCGTCTTGCAACCTGGCTGCTGAAAAGAGCACCAACTGCTGTTGCTGAATGGCCTTCAAAGGCAGCCCTACATATAACACATTGCAGGAATCTGATCTACAGTTTACTAGAGTATAGACAGCAGTAGTTAGGCTGTCCCTATCCAGATTAGGGCGTAGATGGGCCACCAGCCAAAGCTGATCAAAGTCACTCCATGCCACTGAGGCTACCTGAGCTTTGAGTAACAGCGATGGATCCAGGTGTAACCCCAAGCAACACATCTCCTGCTCCTTTAGAGGGTGTGTAACCCCATCAAGAGCATCCAACCAGTGTAGGGAACTACCTACAACAATACCTTCTTAAAACTATTGTTGAAAAGCCTAGAGAAATTATAATAATAATTAGGGCTGCCACATTTCAAAAAAGTGAATATCTGGACAGAAAAGTTGTCGAGCTCTTTTGGCCAAAGTGGTTGAGCTTTTGCAAACATTTTTTTTTTAAGCTTTTCAGCTATTTTTAAGGGAAATCGCCAAAAACATCACTGTCCTGTGCGCTGAGATCATGCACTGATGCTATTTTCTCAGTACCTTCCCTAGTAGAAGTGAAGCAACTGGCAACTAGAGAGTGCCTTGTTTGTGGAATGTCTTCCCAAAGAAAACTCACTTGGCTCCTGTGTTGCTTTCTTTTAGACCAAATTGTACTCATGACAGCTATTTAAGTTTATTGCGGTGATCTTTTACCTGATGTCTTATTTTTCACTGTGGTTGTGTTTGGAATTTACATATATGTGAACCGTCCTGGAATCAATTTGATGAAGTCGGAATATATATGTCTTTAATTAAATGACTGACAGTTTACATATGCATTTAATGAATATTCTTTGCAGAGGAGATCCAAGTTCTGCAGTATAAACAAACAATACAATTCAATATGTGTGCCAATACTTTCTTCTGCACAAGGCTTTTGCATATTTTAATTCCAAATCTGACTTTCTAGTTATACTTGTTGCAGAGATGTGGACTGTTTGGGGCAGTTGGGCGGATGCTGTTGAAAGGCAGCTTTACGTGTTTGGCTGTAGGATGGTGAAATGAACATGGCCAGAAGCCATGAGGGAGAGTTGGAGGAGACGTGCCGGTTCAGGATCCCCATTCTCAGAAGACTGAAGACTTTGGGGATCTTTAGAAACATTTGTTTAAATGCTATTCATAACTAGAAAAGTAAGCTATAAACCTGGTGTGGGGAGCCTGAGGCTCAGGGGCCAAATGGAACCCTTCAAACCACTATACCAGGCCCCCCCAAGAGGAAGAGATCCTCAGCCACACAACCTCTCCCTAGGCCAGTGGTGGCCAAACTTGGCCCTCTAGCTGTTTTGGGACTACAATTCCCATCACCCCTGGCCACTGGTCCTGTTAGCTAGGGATGATGGGAGTTGTAGTCCAAAAACAGCTGGAGGGCCAAGTTTGGCCATCACTGCCCTAGGCCATAGCCCTCACCAGCCCATTTTCATACATTCCTTATATGCTTTTGCCTGACTGGAATGGGTCCTTGAGCTCTGATAAAGCCTCTTGATTTCCTCGGCCGAGTATACCTGAAGGATCATCTCCACCCCCATCGTTCAGCCCGGACACTAAGGTCCAGCTCTGAGGGCCTTCTGGCAGTTCCCTCACTGCAAGAAGTGAGGTTACAGGGAACTAGGCAGAGGGCCTTCTCGGTGGTGGCACCCACTCTGTGGAACGGCCTCCCATCAGATGTCAAGGAAATAAACAACTACCTGCCTTTTAGAAGACATCTGAAGGCAGCCCTGTTTAGGGAAGTTTTTAATGTCTGATGTTTTATTGTATTTTTAATATTCTGTTGGGAGCCACCCAGAGTGGCTGGGGAAACCCAGCCAGATGGGCAGCGTATAAATAATAAATTATTATTATATATTATTACTGGACGAAGGATAGAAAGGAATGTGTAGGAAGGAGGGAAGTGTCCAAAGCTAACATTTGCATTTTGTTGCTTTTCTCACTTTTGCTTCTGGTCTTGCCCACTGCTGGGATGTGCCCCCACAACCTGGAGGCTGCCCAAAATGAATGCAGGTCCTGGTCTGAAAAAGGTAGTCCTGGGGAGATAATGCATTCAAACCCCCACTGATTTGTGTTCAAATACCCATCTCTTAGTCCAGCCTACCTCACAGGGTTGCTATGAGGAGTGTGGGAAGGGGAGGAGATCTATGGATGCTTTTCTGGTTAGGAAAGCACCCAGACACGTCTATATTTTCTGCTGAATTAGGATTTGATTTTGATTATTTAATTTCTATACCCCTTAATATATTAAAGATATATCTAAGCAGCATACAAAAAAGCATCAACAACAGACAGCTTGAACAAAATATTACAGAAACACACAGTTCCTGTGTTCCAAATCTGTTTATCATCCTGATTGCTGTCTTTCTGACATTTTTATCCTTCTGGAAAAGAGGTGACCAGAGCTACAGGGTACCTCAGCTGTGGCAGTGATCACTGGCAAACAGTTTCCCTCGTGAGACCTTCAACCACTTTTGTAAACGACCTGGGCGATTGCACTCTCCACTGAGTGGCGTGACAAATGCAAACGACTGCTTAGTCACTCCAGTAAAACAGCATGCCAGAAAAAAGTGCAATATGCAGGAAGCATCCTACCGCTTATTAACAGTTTTACAAATATCCCGACTTGCTTCTGAAAAGCAGCCACTGACGTGAGTCAAATTGGATTGTGGCAGTTGTGGCAATAAATGAGAATTATGCAACTATCATAAAGTAACTTGCCTGAGCCTGTGAACAAAGAGTGGGGAATAGGGTAGCCCGGTTGTCTATTGTTGTCAACAAATCTTGAAACATCCATTTTGGCTTGTGGCAAACTGGACAGGCTGCTAATATGATCCAAGGAAGCTGTTCTTAAGAAGAATTGCTTGTTTATCTCTCCCCACCCGCCATTTATATTTTATTAAATTTCAAGTTTCACGTAATATTTCTTTCCTTTTGTTTTGTCGACTTCCCATCCCATTTCCCATGCTGTTTTTTATTCCCCCCCTTGCTGCACCCAATCTTCTCTCTCTTATATAATAACAATAGGAAGAATTGCTTGTTTATACCCAGCATAGCAGTTGATGCAGAGCGTATCTGTTAGTCAAATGAGAGGTTATCATGCTTAAAAGCACGTCGTAGGCAACGTGGAGTTGTTATTCGTCCAGTGAGAAAATTAAGAGCTCTTTGTTTTTCAGAACCTGACAGTGCAGTTTTTATGTAAGCAAAAACCTACCTGAACTCACTACGCACAGAAACATTAAGGGACGATTTGAACCTGAGCCCAAACTGGCTGCCAGTTCTTGAAATAATAATAAACAACCCCTGATACCTGAGCAAGCTTGGAGTGGAAGGGATGGAGGGCAAGTATAATGTAGCGGTGAGAGGGCTGGACTTGGAAGGCCTAGATCAGGGGTTGTCAACCTGGTCCCTACCATCCAGTAGTGGGCGTTTCAGGATTCTAGGTGGGTGGTAGGGGTTCTATGACACAAGCTGAATCCTCCTTCCACTGAGCACTGGTGGGCGGTAAGGAAATTTTACCATCAAGAAAGATGCATTA